TGTAGCTCACCAATGTAACAATCGAGTCGATAAAACGGTAAAATATAACTTTAAGTTTGCTATTAAAAACCCCACCTCCTTTCTCTTTGAAGAGTATATTTGTTGATGTAACAAAACGGAGCAGATTTTCAGTTGAGCGGAGTAGAGGACTAGGTTTCAAATTATTTCGACAAAACGGAACAAATCTACTCCTATCGGAGGAAAGTCCGAACGATGGCTTATTGTGTATAGGCTAGTATGCAGCTCTCAAGAAAACGGTTAAGAAAAAAATTTCCATTATTACGTGTGTGTATCCAAGGAATTTTGACATCTGATGCTTCACCAGCCAGTTTCCTCACTCTTCCCTCAAGAAATAATGGAATGCGATATAGTGATATATCGGGCTGAGCAATATCGATATAGGAAAAATCGATGTTGAAAATCCTATTCCCAATTGAATAGAATATTATACCTGGCTGTCAACTCACCTGTTATTTCCATCTTGTATATTTACTGAGGATTAAAACGGCACGCCGGTCGACTCAAGCGGTTTGTCAAACTTAAGAGCTAAATAAATCACACAAGCTGCTGATTAAACCTACTTTAGTATTTTCCTATACACTTTTGTAGTTGAAAAATAAATTTAAACTTAAATATCGATATTGCGGGTAAAGTATCGATGTCTCCGATATATCGACCTGGGAATATCGATTAAGAAATCGATTATCGCACCATGAAATATCGATATTCAGAATAATCGAACGAAATCGAAAATTCCTAGCACAAAGTCAGTAATACCACCAGGGATGCCGTTTGAATCTAAATAGATCCAATTGGATACATTTTTAGACGAATTTTTGCGGGATACTTATTTTTTCCGGTCAGTATAAAAGTGGATACTTTTTTAAATAGTTTTTTTCGTTCAAAAATCGATTTTCATTAAAGATGGTAGAAAGCATTACGTTTTCTAAACGTATAAAGAATCGCTACTTAAGCGTGAAATTAAAGCATTTTATTTTTTGTGAACAAAGCAATGAACATATGAAGAGATCTCACCAAAATAGGTATAAGCACA